CACCCAGAAACTCAATTACCTGAGCAAGTGAAGAAAGCCGGTTTTCAGGACAAAGGGATGGCATGGCATGGCGAGGGTAACCTCCATTAAAGTGGCATAGTTCGTCATATCTGACAACTCACTGAAGAAAGTTATCACTAGTTAAGGGCCTGACCCTGCATTCCTTAAGCAGACAAAAATCCCTTTGAAGTCAGTGAAGCGCCCTGCTCAGATAACTGTATCAGGATTTGGTAATTAATGAAAACTTTTAATTTCTTAAGTAGATTATAAAAGCTTTTCTGCCCCCCCCCAAAAAAAAAAGAAAGAAAGAAAAACCAACCAACAACAAAACCACCTTATTACATGTTATTCATGGCAACACAAGCACATTGGGTTTGTTTCCAGCAGCTGCTGGAGCACGGAGCTGTTTCTTACTAACTAGGAATTACCAAAAGTCAGCACCACATTGTTTGCTAATTTGCATTGATCTGCCGTAAGTGTTCTTCTCTAGCCGATGTCTAGCTGAAGGTTTTGACAGCTTTGCATTCAAAAGGTCAGTAACCATTCCTCAGGGCAATTTGATTTAAACCTTTAGCATTTCACATGCTCCCAACAGCAGTGTGTAGCAGGACATGTGTGTTCGCAGCCTCCAAAAGGTCGTACTTCACAGCCCTCAAAAGAAAATCCAAGTCAGAAATATTGCAACTTGTAGAAAATATCAGAAAAGATATCAGACAATTATGAACACGTTTTTCATTAGATTTAACATCCACTCAAAAGGGCTTAAGAAACACAAATTGCAATGCATGTTTTCAGTCTGCGGTATATTTCAGCTGGAAGTTCTACACTGCCACATGCAGGAAGGCTGCCTTATCTGTCTTTCCTCAAGAGGCGTGCTCACTTAATGTTTGTTCAGGTTTTTCAAGCCATCCGCCCCTTCCCCCTTCCTCCCCCCTTCCCCCCCCCGAAATCCCAAGCCTCTCTCTGGGATGAAAACCTGAAACCCACAATGCAGAATTTGTTTGAAGTCTCATTAAGCAAGAAACCTCAAATTAAGGACAGCTCAGCGAAACAAAACATTTTTCTACAGAGTCACGTGGATGTAAAACAAGTATTACATACAAGTTCTCCCTCATTATCCCCTTTGCGAGCTGTTTGTATTCTGATTAGCGTGCTAATGATACACGTTTCACACAGAAAAAGCAGTTAAGTCTCTACTTCAAAGAAAAATGATTCCGTGTAAGAGTACCAAAGCTAGGCTTGCTTCTCACATGCTGATTTTGTGAGCCACGAAGAGCAATGCAGCAGCTAGATAAATGCTTAATCTTCGTTTGCACCAACAAAGACGGTAGGTGTTTGCCTTTTGAACGTAGGGACGTTTTTGTTGCTGGCGGTGGTCTTACTGCAGATAATAAGTGAGCTGCTCTCGGTTCACATCGTAAGAACGGAGTGCTGGTTCCTTTAAACAAACGGTTCATTAAAAAGGAGAGATATGAAAATAAACTGCCCCTCCCAACAGAATCTCATAAAAGAAGATAATTCGATAATGATTTATGATCTACGTGAGGAATCCAAGCGCCACAACAAAGTAATTAACAAGAAACAGAAAGGAAAACACAAATAAACAGACATTCTAACCAATGACAGACAAAAGAGGTGAGTCTTCTGTTTTAACAATCTAAGCTACTTTTTACCACACAAGGAATGAGTAAATGAAAACAGTACTTAAAAGTGACATGTTCACTTCTAAATATTTCATACGTGTTTTACTATGTTCTCATTGTAATGATGTAATTTCCACTCTGGGGACTTGGTAAGAGTATCATGTATTGGCTAAGTAACGTTTAAGTCACACTGAAAAAAAGAACAAAAGGAAAAAGGAAATTGTGCCGATCCAGGTCATGTTTCATTTTGAAGGTATGCCAGAGAGTCTGTGGATTTCAATGGGAAATGCACTGATTTTTGTGAACACAGTCAACTACTGAACCAGCACCAAAACTAAGGATTTGCAGAAAAATCAAACACCAAAGCAGTAGGTAGTTTGCAAAGCACGTTTGTGCATGAAACAGTGATGTTAGAGAGGGGAAAAAAAAAAAAATAATAAAAACAAGAGGACAAGGAGGGAAAATTATTGGACTCAAACCTATCTTTAGGAAAAAAGTTTACTATATTACAGGCATGACTTACTGATAGTATTAAAAATCCTTTATGTCATGTCTCCTTCAAGCAGCACTAGTGATGCCTCAGCTGCACGTAAAAGAATTTACTGTTTAGCCCCCTAATAACCCACAGCTGTGCCTCACAACAGAGGAAGAATGCTAAGGAATCAGCTATATCACTTTATGAAAAAGGAACAATTCGAGACGACTAAAACCCAGCCTGAAAAAGTTAATTTTGAGGGGAAAAAAAGACACAGGTCCCTGTCCAAGTTTTAAGTTGCTATTGGATGTTTCTTATTCATAGCTAAGGTCTCATTTCTGTAACACACCACCACAAAGCATTTACACGTGACAGTCCTTAGAGTAAATGGGAAATTGTACAGAAAGCCAATTTTAGAGAAGGACCAAAATACTAAAATTATTGACACAGGCTGACAATTTAAGGAAGCCGCTAAGCAGACTTTGCATTAGAACCAGCTCAAACATACTTTACCTGATTTAGACTAGCTGAAGTGAGCTAAGGACAGCAGTCATGTTGCAGCCGCGTTCCCGCGCAGCCTGGAAGCGGAGGCGCCATCTCGTGACCCCGCGCAGCACCGCTCGGCTTTCTCAGCTCCTTCGGCTCTCAGCAGAGTTCCAAGTCCCACAGTAACCCAGAAAATCCTCGGGCTCTTTGCATTGCTGAAAACCAAAGCCAAACAGATGAGATAGCAACTGCCAAGGAAGGCACCAGCCAGGGGCCACAGCCTCATCAGTAGTGAAGAGGTGACATGCAGGCCAGATTCTTGTATTTTTCAGGTTTTATTAACATCAGTTTGAATAAATAATTGCTTGCAGAGGCCATGATCAATGGCAATGAACTCTTACGCTTACTGCTCTGTCTTGGAGCAGCAGAGAAAACAAATACTAAAAACATCTATTAGTTTTCAGTTCAGCGTTTAAAACAAAGTGAAACTATTTCTGTCATGGCCGTCCTCTCTCTTGCTTTCTGGTCCAGTCTGCACTCTACAGTTGGCATATTGTTCAAATCTATGCTCTGTACTGATCAGTACATTTATCTCATACCTACCTGGGAATTTTTTTCTGATGTACTGTCACCTGGCACTGCTGGGTGTCAAAAGTAATGAAATTGTTACAGAGGTGAACTGCATCCTCCTGTGTTTAGGAAGTGTGATCCGCAGAACTATGAAAGGGGTCAGCAGTTGGCCCACAGAACCACACTAGTAACAGTGTTTCTAGTGAAATACTTTGCTAAACCATCTCAGTAGGTTCTTTGGAGTTAACCCCTTCCTCCCAGTCTGGGACATTTCTGGGAGCAGGGAGGAGGGAAAACACAAGTTAAAAGTGACATGCAGCAGATCCAGGAGCACCAACCTTGTTAGCCAGTCCAGCACTGGTTCAGTTGTTTCTCGTTACCTTCTGAAACCTCCAAGATCCCTTGTGGTGGCTTTCTGGCATTGATAAGGGAACTTAGTCTCCTGTAATAACTATGGTTTGCAACTTCAGAGTTCCTTGAGATGCTTTCAAGACAACACTACCTACTTCTCTTACCATGAGAAATGGGTAACCTAATCCAACTCCACAGCAGGATACTTGGTGTCTCTTACGTCCTACATCACAAGGCTCCAAATCAGCCTGCTAATCCCCTTCCAAACGGCTCCCTGTATCCAAGCAGCTGCAGCCACATGTACCATCCCATCACACCTTCATTGTATTTTGTGTCTGCACACAGGAGCTCTTGCTCCTCCTAGTCTTTTCCTGGCTGTGAACTGCATTCAGGCTCTTGAGGTGGATCCTCTTCAACCTTTGGCAGCTTCCATAAGGGCCACCTCCTGTCGGCATGCCCCAGTATTAGCACCAATGACCCGTGTTCTCACACTCTACGCTGGTTTATTACTGTCATCCCTCAACAAACTAGCTTAAAGCTCTGGCTTTAAACTAGCTCTGAGCCCTTCCCGACTGTACCTTGTCCCTTTCTTTGTCTCCAACAGCATCAAAACAATTCTGAAATTTCATACCTAAGGCTAGTGAAGAAGAGCATCTTCTGCTGCCTGAGGTCACAAGCTTTGTCCACACTGGGAATCTATACTCAGCAGCTGCCCATCTATGGTCCTTAGCTTTCCCTTCTTACCATCACTCCATGATTTGATCACTTGCCTCCACAAGGTCGCCACAAAAATCCTGTTATGTTCCGTTGTTCATCTTTCATGATGCTCCAAGTCTGCTCCCTTGTCCACCGGCTCCTGAACTGCGCAACACAGTGCCATGCCTGCAGCACAGCTCCTGAAGGTAAGGCTAATGAGCCCTCAGCTCCTAGAAGAGGTACCAGACACTCTCTAGCAGCAGCATCCTTCCTCACAAGCCCCCTCCCATGCATCAGGGTGTTTCCCAGAGCTGGCACTGAGGACCAAGCCCTGTAGTAACATCCCCACCACTGCTAGACATCCCATGCTGTCTGGGAGCAGAATTTCAGGGCTCTTTTCTTTCCACTGCTGCACTCACCAACTGATGTCTGTCAGCTGTAATGCCTGTGACCAGCTGAGAAGGCTTCTCCCACAGGTTGAACTGAGCTTGACAGTCAGCTGGAGTTTCTGTGGGGCCTTTGCCTCTCTGCTGTGTAGTGTTTCTGGGCTGACAATACAATGAAGGTTTGCAGTTATCCAAAATTTCTCTTTTAAGAAAGCATTTTTTTAAAGGCAGCATGTCTGGCAAACAGTATTTCTGCACGTAAGCAGCTACATACATATTCAGTAATGTATTATGGTGGAACTATTGTTCACAGTGTACTTAACAGTACTAAATGCAATGAATTGTTACTATTTCAAGATTACCAACTTGCACTTCGAATAACTGAGTCACAACTTATCAGAATAAACTTTTATTTACTGCTTTCAGGATTCTTATTTTATACTTTAAAGTATGCAACAAATACTGCTACATTCAAATCTATACAGATTTACTGATATATCATTCGTGTTTTACAAAACTGCTTATAGATTTGGGAAATCTGTATAAATTACCTTTATTTACATGTAGTATCCTCAGCCCTAGCAACCTAGTCAAAGAATAGAACAAACCGGGATTTTAAATATCCCTTAAGACCCATTACAAGTTACACAATTTACATATCTTCATAGAGAGATGTGCTACAATACCTTCTTGCATATTTCTGAAGACTGACTAAAGAGAAACTTGCTAGCCAAAGCTAGATGCCGTCATTTCCTCTGATCATGTTGGTAATAAAAAGTTCAAATTACAGCAAGCTGGGTATATCAATCAATTCTTTTTCTTTTATCATCAAGCTGACTAATCTTTTTAACCAGCACTTGCTCAAAAAAACAAACAAAAAGCATTAATATTCATACAAAATAATACCCACATTTACAAAAGAAATCAAACTAATATTTATATGACAGGTCGATCTACAATAAATTGCACATTGTTGGTTATGACTTTGGTTATACTGTATTAACAAATTTGGTTTCTAGACTAACAGTGGAGAAAAAATATAAAAATGCAGCTATAGAAATTAGCATAACCTGTAAACATATTAAAGAACCAAATTCTGCCCCTGGTTATATGTGCAAAACTCCCATACATTTCTGAGAAGTTTGCACACATCAGACTGCTGAACTTGGCCCAGAAAACCCTGTAAACATGTTCTTTATTGTTACGTAGTGCAATACTGCAAGAATGGATAATAAAGGCCTCTAACTACCAGTAACCAATACTCTGTGATACTCATACAAATTTTGCTTTAAGATTAATTTGTTGCAAAAATGCTGAATTGAAAACATTATCCATTGTTGAACTACAAATTTATCAAAAAAAGTGAACACTCAATAAACCAACAACAGTATACAAATTCTGACAAGAAAAGATACAATTTCTCATTACTATTCAGAATTATGCTGCTTGTGCCTTATAGAAAGTCCCAATTTTGTTACATTGTCTTAACAAAAGCAAGTTAGAAATAGAAATAATAGAATAAAAAAAACTGTAAGCAAGTCAACGTTCTGCAAACTGATAGCTGATAACACCAACAGATGTTCTGCAATGTTTTACCAATTATGCTGAATTATAAGGTGCTCTGGGAAGGTCTGTAGCAAATAGCCTGAAGCAGCACAGATGATATTGCATTACATGAAGTACATATTTTTAACTCACTAACAATTTTAGTCGTTTCTCTCAAAGCAGCAATTCAAATTTACATCCTCTGCAAAGATTTCTTCACAGTTTTACTTCAGTAGTTTACTGCAGGACAGTCTGTCGAATACTGTAAGAACAAGCAACTGCTTAAAAACATTTTAGCTGTTGACTTACTTGGCACTGGCCCATCCAATGTATATTTCGTAGTAACTATCAAAGTATACAAAACTGTGGAAATGGCAAAATACGTTTTCAAACGTTAGTGAATTTTTAATACTTATTTTACAAGTGATACTATGAAGATTGAATACTCATGTGACAAAGTAAAATGGTAGTCCCTGGAAAATTCAAATCTGTAAACCCTTGAAATGAAGTTGCAGCACTGGACCGTTACAATTTATGTCTGTGGTTTAATCCACCCCATCAAAGCCCTGAGTATTTTCAATCGCTAGAAGAAGTTTATCCCATAAATCTTCAAATGAATCATACGGGGGCAAATCCAAGCGATTGAAGCTGAAAAACAGATGAAAATTCTTAAGCATTTCATCATTAACTCAACGATACAGTTTACCTAAATTAAATACTCACCAGGTATGAGCTCTTGGCAATTTTTCAGGGGTACCCCACTGTTCAACTGTAAACAACTGTGGTCCATTTGAACCTGTAAGGAAGAGCATTTCAGTTCTTACCTGAACATATGATTCTTATTATCATTACAAATTATGAAATACATTGTTCTTTAGTCAGCCAATTCTGACTTCTGCACGAATCAAATACAGAACATGCAATAATGGTCAATAATTTGAATCTACTTGAAGTATTTCTTGGTACATCTTAATTTCAAGAGACTTTTACACCTTTGAGTCAGAAGTCTAAAACCTAAACACGTACGCACAGCAATTGGCATTGAACACTTCACATGGAAGACAGTTTTATGCTACGTGTTTTTTGTGTGAAAATGTAGACGTATTTATCACAATGTGCCAAGTTACAAAACCCAGCAGAAATTATTCAATGTGTACCTTTACCTAGGCTACAGCAGAGTAGAGCAACTGAACACTTTTTGAAATACAGCAGCCATATGTGTAATTCCACAAACTCAGCGACCTCATGAAATGAACACATGCACCTGAGAAAACTCTTGGTTAGCAACTGCAGCTCCAACTACACCTGAGTCTTCAGCAACTGTTTTACATATGACATATCTGAAAGTTTTTTTTTAAATCTAATGAAGTCGTCCCATTGTGGATGGGAAGAGCCCTTCATAACCATTTACTTAAGCTGTTGAAAGCATTTGTCTGCAAAAAGAGCATAGTTCAGAATCACTATTTTGTCAGAGAACAGGAGATGACCTGTAATGGCTGGTGCCCTCTCACTTCTACAGGGAGACCATCAATACAGATAGGAAGCTCCCAAGATGGAGTTGCTCTCTGCCTCTAAACTGGAAAAGGCAAAACACGTTTCAGATGAGTAGCAGTAATGCTAATATGCTGACCATGAATACATCTAAGGTATACAGCTTAAGGTACTCTACACAGTACCTACGAAATTATTTTGGTTTTAAAACTCAATATGAAAAAAAGAGAAGGTGACTATGACTCCTCTAAAATGGCATTTTTTGTTTGTTGTTTTTTGTTATACAAGTTACACTTGTCAATAAAAAATATTTCATCTGTGGTTTTATGGAGGCATGAAAAAAAGTATATGCATAGTCACATTAAAAAGAAAGGATGATACTATAACATGTATTAAAATGCATAGTGCACCAATAACAAGTAAGATTAATGAACTCAAAGTTGTAGAAATGGATGTGGAAGAAGATAGACAAGATACATAAAAAAACAAAGCAACAAAATACACAATAAATGATGTATGATAATATATATATGATAATATATATATTAAAACAAAACAAGTGGAGAAAATCCTCCCACAACTGCTCACATACACAGAAAGACAGGAAATACCAACCAATGCACAGTAACTACACTCTGTATATATACACTGAATGAATTTGACAGACGACAGCAGACACTGAGCACATAAAATATCATCAGGAAAACTGATATAGCAGTAGCTGTGGGACTACCTCCAGCTCCACGTTTGTTCAGCATGCAAGGCTGGTTAGAGAAGGCAAATGGAAAGAATGCCTGGAAGAAGGATGAAGCGGAGACGTAGCTCTACAATTGACAATGCTTTCTACCATGCAATACAAAGATAAAACTCCCTTTTCACAACCAGGTGTGAATAAACCTGTATTTTAGCCACCCAACTACTGAGCTGGAGGCTTACAAGGCAGAGGTAGGGAGAAGACAAGAAGTAGAAGAAATCTCATCTGTTTTGTGCCTTTGTTCTCAAACTTCGGTCGATTCACACCGTACTTTTCTAACGAGCAGAAATTCCCGGCGTGGCCACAAGAGGGAGATGTGCAGCTAGGAAGCGAGCCGCAAGAACGAAAGCAGCCCGGGCGTGGGGCACTGCAAGCACCCTTCAAAGACAAGCAGGTACGGGCGTGACTGGGCCCATTGCTGGGATTTAACGAGAGTGGCATGCTGACCACAGTAAAGAAGAAACGACTATAAAAGAAAGAGCCAAAGCACTGTGCTCACTGAATTTTTCATTAAGATTAAACAGAGATAGCGAAACTGTGATTTGGCCAGAAGCTGCCCAAGGATATAAATCCCTGAGCAGAAAGGGGTTAAGAGATTCAACAGTTTCTTTCCATCATTCCTTACAGGATTTTGTTTTATTTGTCTAAAAACACTTCCAGAGGCAACAGAATTCCTATCAAGTTCCATGTGCTGCAGTTCCAAAGCAGTGCCCATGGATCGGGTGTGAGAGCAGACACCTGGCTCAGCTCTGCTGCACACACCATCCTTCTCACTGGTACTCACAACTCCTTCAGTGAAGGAGTGGAAAGAAGAGAGGAAAAAAAGAGAAAAAAAGAGAAAAGAAAGAGAAGGGAAAACCAGGACACACAGTGGTTAGCATTTTTTATAGTCCTATTGTTCTATATACAAATCACTGTCTTGTTTACAAAGAAGGAAATATTTATTTAAATACACAAGTTAGACTGTTCTGTCACTTGCCTTTGCAATTCAGCCTTAACGAATTAGTTTAGTAGGAAACTCAATAGCTGATGGCAGCTGAAAACAGATTTCTCACAAGCATCCCTACCCTTTGTGGGCTGTCCTATCTGCTTGCCCACAGACTTTCCACAGCAGGCCAACTCATTTCAGCACTGCAGTCTGCTTCCCACTGCCATCTGCTTGCTTCAGTCTCCCTACTGTGGGTTTGCTATTTCTCTCTTGGCTCATGCTTAACTCACATCATTTCAGTGGTCCACTTCAGAGTATATCCTTACAAACAATTCTATCTGTGTAGGTGTGGCTTGGGGGCAGACAAAAGCAGTTACAGAACTCATGAGAATCTGAAGTTAACCGCTCATGCCAGCATGTCTTTGTAATAGTATCTTCTATAGCAGAATTTTCTTGAAGCTCATCAACGTGTGAGAGAACTTTGTAGCTCTTCAGAACTCATTTTAAAACAAATTAAAAAAAATAGGTATGTTTAAAGTCAAACATCATTAAAATAGCTGAATCATGTTCTCAGTCAATTGTGAACACAATCTTCGGTACTCACCATAAAGCTCAGCAAATCCATTCATAGGTACACGTGACGTGCCAGTAACAAATTGTAGTAATCTTATTCTCTTTTCAGAGTCCATCATTAAGACTGCCTGTGCGTGATAATGATTACAATTAAAGACTTAGTGAAAGGTTTTTAATTAAGGTTTTAAGCTAGTAGATTTATGCAACATACTTTCCACCCCTACTGTCTTTGAAGTTTCCTGATGTTATCAACTAGTAGCCAAATCCACTATTTTATTAAATGGAAGATTTTAACCTCTTCAGTGTAACTATGCCACAGAAAGCTACACAATAATATTTAACCAGTTTTTTTTTTTTTTTTTTTTTTAAGGCAAGTTCTCAGCAGTCTGTTACATTCCTACCATGCATATCATTCAGTTTTCTTACTGTCTCAGAATTTTCAGTATACAAATATTTACCCAACTACTGATGAATCAACTACATGCTGACCTAACACAGCTGAAACGGTGCATCTTCTGAACAGGTTTAAGAAAAAAAAAAAATTAAAAAATCTTGCAATACCTTCCAAAACCACTGTATTACTTGATGATTTACACTGTAGCCATTTTTGTATTTTGTATGTAGTTTCCAATCAGCTACATCCACATCTCCCAGTCCACACATCAGTAACTACATAAATGAAAAAAAAAAACAAGCAAAGTTTAAGTCTGTAACATTAAGTTTCATTATAATTTGTTTTCTTTTCAACGGTATGCTTACCTCCAGCTCATTTTCATCAAAAATTTTAATCAGATCCTGAGGTATTAGTTCAAAAAAGCCCTAAAAAAAAATGACAGAAGGTTTTAAAAATCAAGTTAATATTATTTATGCATTTTTGTTTGCATAGAATGATATTTATGTGTTATAGAAAACAGAACTTAAGTAACATATCACATACAGGTGTTTGAAATTCAGTCATTCACCGTCTGGTTACAGGACCTTTATTTCACATTTCTTTACCAGCTGTACTGATTTATCAACTCTGATCATCAGATATGTAAATATCACTTACACAAATAAGGATAAACTAGCTAGTTTCATTTAATTATTTTAGTCTGATTCCATTTTCATCATGCAGAATTCATTAAATAATTTGCATTACAGTTAAAGCTGTCAGCAAGGATTGAGAAATATGCAAATTTTCCAGTACGAATTCACCACCTCAGTAAAAATTTACCAAAACAACTTAGGACAGAAAATTCAAAGCTGCCATTGGAAAGTGCCACTGCCTTTTTTATCCTTGTAACAGTACTACCACAGGTCTTTCGGATGTCACATTCTAAAAAAACCTGTCTTAAGATCGGATGCAACAAACTGAGCAAATCTTTTGTTTTTAAAATTATACCTCTTTAAACGCTGCCATTTGTTTCTGTACTCTGCTCACAAATCTCCACTGAATTACAAGACTGTGGAAAAAAGTGAATATTTAAATTAAAAACAATTTATACACAGTAACAACTTTCTTTTGTTAATACAGCCAACATAGGCTTGATTCTTAGAGAGGCTATCCACAGAGATACCCTGCACAGTGACCACCACTTACTGAATGTAGTCTCTCTTGTTCTTGTTGGTGACAACAATTTCCGATCCACCACTTTTTAGTTCATGTTGATGGGTCTAAATGAGGTACACAGAACAGATTTTATGTAAGACATGTACAACAATTCATGTGTTAATATTAGGTAATTCAGCTAAATCTTGAAGAATGTAGAATTTGAAAATTATGATAAATAGTACACGTTCCAGAGGTCATAGAATAAATATTTTTTCTAATACATTATTTAGAGATGCCAGATGACAGTATGTCAATCTCAATTTTTTATTATTTGGCTACAATAACTGCCTTAAATTTGCATACAGGTTTTCAGTAGTATTGGCTTCAGTAACTGCATGTTCAGTGAACAAGTTTCATTTGCAAATATCCACGAAAAACACTTATAGAACAATTTCAGCAGTGACCTCCTGTAAATATGTGAATCTACTCATATATTAATAATTTTTTTATATCAGTAACTGATTTATACCATCAGAACCTCAGTAGACAAATGTCAAATTTTCTATTTATTACAGATGTAGTATTTCAGACTCTTAAGTGGAATCAATTTAGTTACACAAGATATCAAAGGCTATTTAGCCTATTTAGATCTTCCTGGCACCTGTAATTTAAAAAACCTTTGGTATTTCTATGTGACCTATCTTGGACGACTTTCTATACTAAACCAAAGTGGTTTATTCCATAGTTGTCTTGAACAGCTTCAAGAAAAACAAAACAGAAAACCCTATTATTACCTCTGAGAGAAATTTACGATTCCAACCATTTCCCTACAAGGGCATCTTTCCCAGCAAATCAGACAAAAATCAGTTTCCCCTCGATCAAGTAATGGGACCATCAATATTTTAGTCTTAGCCGCATTTATAGCAACAGCCACGTTTCAATGTGAGTGTTAAGAAAAAAGTATAAGATATTGTTTCTATGGCTGTGCTCATTTCCAAGTCCTTTATCACATCACATCCTGACTAACAAAGGACAGCATGAGCATGTGCCAGCTAAAGGAATTAAGTTGAATAAACAAAGCAACATGACTGAACGATGGATTTTTTTTGTTTGTTTTCTTAATACCATACAGATGGTATTAAGCAACTATTCTGAAAGGCCAAATATTTTGTTTTATGTTTCGCCTATTCTAATTTACATATGCATACTAACCTGTCCAAAAAGTTCTTCATCAACTATAAATCTGAGGTCCAGTTCCGCTGGATCATTTTCAAGAATCCATCTCAGAGAATTGTAATATTCACTATCCTAAAAGAGGGAATTGCAAGTTCAATGAATGAATATGAGAGACTTACTGAAGTAGACACTGCAAAAAACAGTGTTTCTTAAACAGATACAACTAAGTAAAACAACTCATAGTCTTTTGCAGACTGAGTGCAGTAGTGATTTCATTGTACTTGCCCATCAAAGCCAACAACAAACGCTTCACTCTATATTGAAGGCAGAAGATTTATGTTTCAAAGACCTTGAAAAGCAGATACATTGGAAAGCACATAGCAATTAAGCCTTAGCAGAAAAGTGTAGAGCTTAAAAAAAAAATAACATGGGAGATTGTGGTTTTAAATACATATATACACACACTTAATTAGAAGTAATTAACTATATTTAAGTTTTTATTTCCATTTGCGATATATTCTCCAAGCATGAACTATAGACCAGATTTTCTCCAGTTTTTTTTTTTCATTTACTGTCATCAGCATTCTCACAGGGACATGAGAAAAATGGAACATAACACTCTCTTTCCAGATAGGTGACATCTGTTCTCTTTCTACAGGAGAAACTCCTCTTTAAAACATCACAGCTGTCCAGGACAACGAAAGCTAACCTTTCAGTGCTAGGTGGCACATTTAGTTTTAAAAGAACTGTGCCAGTCTAATTAATCTGGTGTGAAAACATCACATTGGAATGAATGGTTTGCCAACATCAGATTCACAAACTAATGTAATGCCTAGCTGGTACGTGGATATCTGTTTCCCTCAAGGCATCCTATCTGAACTCCCATCTTCAGTTCTAAAGCTTTGATGGACACATCCCTGCTACAGTAAAGCTTGTTAAAGGAAAATGACCACATAAAAACCCCTTCAAACAGGATGCATAAGCTAGTAACTCACAAAAAGGCTGCTCTAATTTAAGTGCAAGGGGAATGGTGTCAGTGAGAAATTAATTTGTTTGTTACTAAATAAATAGTTTATTATTAAATTGCGTTCCTTAAAAGCACAGTTACTGTAAGCATCAGGTACAATGAATGGAGTAAATAAACCCTTTTTTCCCTTACAAAAAGCTACAATGCAGGTTAGATATGGAATGGTATGTTTATGAGCAGCAGCCTCTTGTAATGGGCACAGACAAAAAGGAAATCTCTCTTCACAACACAATCATTAGGCTTTTCTATACATAAGTAACCAACAATCATAAGCATGAAGTATTGTCAGCATAAACCAAAATGAAAAGAAAATTCTTGAAAGTGGGCAAAGTCCTTTGCTCATTAGAAGCGTGCCATATAGATCTTAGAAGGTTACAACCTGCAATTTCAGAATAGTGAATACACAATAAAGTTGTCACATTTCCAGCTAAAAATGGCTCTGTTACAGCTCAGTGAATTCCACAGTCTCAAACAGTCTGTACTGGGTACACAGGCTCTACAACTGTACAGAACTACAAAGACTTCTGAAACTGAAGAGTCAGCATTCTCAGGACATCAATCACATGTACCAACACTGCAATAGGACATCACAGCATGTTCAGAAGTCTAAACATGACTCAGTCTCTCACCTCTGATTTTATTTTCCCTTTATCATCAGGCAAGACTTCAGAAACTTAGGACGTGAAAATTAAGATACACAGTATTTAAAAAAGAAAAGGACAAGACAAAAACTATTCTATTACTCAGAAGCACATAGCAACTATATTCAGAGTTCTCATGAGACAGTAGAAACAGTAATGAATTAGAGACTGAGCAAAAATCATTCTGCCCAAAACCACTCTGGGTAATACCCCCATTATCAGGGAAACTAACTAAATTTACAAAAGATTGTTTTTTCTCTAAAAATACTATACTTTATTATTAACTACACTTTTCAGTCTCTGGAAATACAGGTAATATGTTACTTTTTAACAATCAAAATACACACAAACATAAGAAACAGGTTGACATGGAGATTTCTAAGCTGTTAATGCTTATATTTATTTCTAAGTAACTTTCTGCCTGAAATATTTTCAGAAACATCGAATTTAGTCAAGTTTTTTGTCAACTAATTGAGGCTGGAGTCTGTCTGTCATTGAAAGTTTCAATTCCTGCACAACTTCATCTCACAGAACACGTATCCTAAAAATTCCCTGAATTATGCATTTTTAATCTTCACAACGTCATTAATTACAAATATGAAAAATTTAACATGAAATCCTAATATACAGATAAAGTAAATTACATACCACAGACTCCATATCATGAAGCGTTATTGGCTTTTGGAGCATCATCTTGTAGAAAGGACGGATGAAAAATGCTTGAAAGGAAAACAAACATATTGAACAGTAGGTAACAACATTCAAAATATGCACGATATCAATCCAAGTATTGTATGAAGTAAATACCAACCATCCAAAAGTTTGCCATGGTAAACAGCCATTCCAGCTACTCGACCTATAAACTTGAAATAAGAGAGATGATCTTCATTGCACAGTCCAGAGTTTGGGTTGATCTGCAGAGTATAATTATCTCTAAAGTGGAGGGGAGCAGAAGGAAAGAAACAAAAACACAATTTTTTAAAAACTGGAACAGTTCAGCATTCATAGATCTGAAAGACATCACTGATTAAATCAGGTATTACTTTTCATGAAGTTAAAGAAAAGTTATATTTGGATTAGTAAATTACTAATCCAAAATTAAAAATACTCAACAGAAGATTCTATAAGCTTAGCAGAAATAACACCACAAATTATCATTGTAAGCTACAGATACACCACATAGAAGTGCTTAACTCCTATTAAAGTAGTTTGAATTACTTTGTCAGCATTATCTCTTAAATACTGTCTCTTTGTTCTGAAGGTAGTAGATAGCCACAGATGTATGTCTGTGCAAGCAAAGATGAAAAGGCCTACTGCTGAAAACAACAAAAAGGCAGATTTTCTTTCCTCAGTACTCTTCTGCAAAACTAGTATACACAGGATATTTCAGTTATTATCAATTAAACCCTCCAAAGTTGTTTAGAAGGGAGGAGGAAGAAGGAAGGAGGGAAAAAAAGAAAAGAGAAATTAAACTAATTCCATTTTTAAAGTATGCAGGAGAGATACAATGGATCTGCCTTCCCTAGCACTCAAAAATCTTCTGGAACTGTATTACTTACGTAGCTGAATATTCGAACAATCCATAGTAAGGATTGAACATCTCCTTAGAGAGAAGGAAGAACCATTCCCTGGCCACTCCTCCATAGTCTAAACCTTTTTCACCATCAAACTCAATCCAAAGTCTTGCTTTAAGGAAATCTGCTCTCTTCACAGCTATAATTCTTCTGTAAGAATCTTCAAGGATTGTTGTGCGATGAATTTTCATTTCAAATCTGTTTGGAATATCACTCTAAAAAATGACAATGAAGAGGAAAACAGATTTATGGAACAAATATCAGTGTCTGTTAACAGACAAAAACAAATCCTTGTCTTAAATAACGTGGAAACAAATGACTGACAAGAGGTTCTATTTACACAAAATTCAATCAGCATGGAAAGCTTCAGATAAAGTTCTACTGATGTAGAATCCCAAGAAAATCACGTTAAGATAAATTCTTATTAATAATAACATATGCTTAACTGAAGGACAAATAAAGTTAACTGTCTTTAAATGTAAAGCCTATATTTATAGGCATATGTATATATATCTCCATCCAACAACAGCTTGATCCAAGCTGAAAACAAAAAATAATTGGGGTGAGTGCATTATCTATCATTTCCCAAACTGTAAAATAATGTACAGTATAGATATCAAATTTACATAGCATGTGAAATATACAGGTCTATTTCATCATTTCAGACAGCTAAGAAGCATTTTAAAATAAAACACAGTATTCTTAGTTGCAAATAACTTTTACAGAAAAAATGTTCAAGCAATTATAGAATCTAAAACCAAATTTAGATGATTAAAAAAGGTCTACAACAATTCAATCTCAATTTAAATCAATCCATTACCCTAATTATCATTTGCATAGCTGTCAACATTTAAAAGGCAATGCTAAAGTATGCTTTAAAATCTGTGTTTTTTAAAATTGCTCTGGTTATACTGGATACATGAGCAGTGTGTCACTTCTCAGGCAGAGATAATGACATTAGAACAAACGGTAAGCTGGCTGACTATGAAAATAAGATGTGCATGCAATTATGTAAGATGTACACACCAGCTCAAAGTGCATAGGTTTTAGAAAGGCTAGAGATAAATTTACAAGGTGAAGGTGAAATAAAGGTATCGACTAAAACTCAACCACTACACAAAACATCCCCAAGGACACAAAATTTGGTGGCAGCTGCCCACAGATGTTTTCTTATATGAATAACCAGATGCTAAGCATTATAAATACAGCAGTCACTGCCAGCTCAAACTACAGTTTGCAAATCAGATTTATAAGCTTAACATTTTAAGGCTATAACAATTTGTTACAGTCATCTAGCCTGATCAGATTTCTACCTGAACAGTTTAAAATCTTTTTTGAGAACTCCTCTTTCCACATTCAGATTTCCAAAAACTATTCCATGCTATTACAGTGATTTTCAATCTTTCCTGTTTACAGCCTACCTCAGTGTTGAGTATTTAACCTTTTAAAATTTCTGCTTTCTAATTAGACTGCTTTCAGTTTCATGGCTTAAAGTCACAAACCCTACTGTTAGATCCAATGGCAATTGTAATCAAGTTAATCAAGCTGCTGCTTCAAAAATGTATATATGATCAGACAGCCCTTCTACATTCTCTAAGCAGGTCAGGAAATACAAATTCTCTTCCCTTTAACCCATGCTTTCTTTGTTTAGGGGCATGCATTTCTTAACCTTGTGCTGGGTTGCTGCTGATTACTAACCTGTTTCTTCAGTTTCTTTCTGAAGAACTCATACTTCCTCTTGTAGTCCCTGGAGTAAGGCACAGCCTTTGGAAAAACAAACAAACAAAACCCAAAACCAACAACTGAAAACGTGTTCTAGGTATTCTAACAAGTAATGTAAGAAACTAGTCTATATTTGTGAAACATATACGTTGAAGTTCTGAGAAAACAAGAACTTTTTTTTTTTTATTTTTACTAAGTATCAACAATATTTTCAATTTATGAGTATATGGATAGCACAAAAATTCTGAAAATTACTGCTTTGTTCAAAACATTTGTACTGATCAGAATTTACCCCACACAGAATTTATCCCACACTTTACTATTAACTGATGTAACTGACTAAAATCACTAACTGGTCAAGATCAACGTGATGAAAATGTCTTTGATGACTTACACAGTGTTTAGTCTTTCCATGCTCTATCATGAGAAACCTGGCTACAAACACCTCTATTTTCCATGGACAGAGAAGGTTGTTTACATATGTGGGCTATTAATAAACACAGATATCAGTTGAACACTAAAACCCACTCTATAATTATAATGTGTACCATCTTTGCAGTTAGTCCTGGTAATTTTGCACTTCAGATAAAGTATCAAGGCCAGATCATTATTTTTCACTTAGAAATGAATTTCATTCCCTTTATAGACATTTTCTTTTTGAACTGATTTTTATTTCTGGTATTTAAAGACCACTTCCAGAGAAAATCTAATAGGCCTTTAAAGAAATAAGTATGTCTTCTTCAAATATCTTCAAAATTTCATCTTGTAGACCTGGTAAATGATGAGAGCTTGTTTGGATTCTGTCAGTCACACTCCTGAATGACATATAAAGCTATAAGAAAAAGCTTACTGGTCCAGTTATCGCCACGTTCTGCAGTCGAGGATCCTCCCATTGTGTTTTCTTGGTATCTGCAAGGTATTTCATAATTATTTCCCTTAACTTACACAACAGTAATGAAATGATGAGTGGTGTGAGAATATTACATTGTACGTACTGTGGTTTATGAAGAATATTCTTCCGTCTGTGTGTGTTCTCTCTTCCCACCCTGGCTGTAAGAAGGAGATACTTAATTTATAATCACACTTTGCATAGAACACAAGGTCATCAGCAGTTGTAGGGATTGCTGCCTGCTCCTCCCACCTACTCTTAACTCTGGAATTTTAAATTTAGTTTGTTGTTGCTGTTATTTGAAAAACTGTGTTTTCTAAAGCAGCAGGCTGCATTTTTTTCCATGTACAAATTTAGATAGTGGCAGTTAAATTGTTATACCTGAAAAACAAGTAATATTATATACTTACTGGTAATGGCCCTAGATCTACTGGATCTAGGGAAGTCTTTCTCCTCAGATGAGCAGGAATTTTCAGTCTCGGATCTTCCTTTGAGAACAAAACAATCAGCATGTTAAAACTGTTTTGAGGGTTTGTTTCGTTTTGCTTTGCTTTAATTTTCTTTTCCTCTTTGTTACTGAGCACGTAAGAAGCATGCCTGGTACCAACAAGATAATTGTTGCATATTCTACAGCTCAGCAGTTCCTTGAGGATCATCAGTCATTCAGTCCTTTACAATCATCATGTTTTAATCTATTTAAATGCTCTCACTTTTCTATGTGCATACACACACACACCACACACACCAATCCTTCACTTAAATCAGTATTGGTATAACTGAGTAAATCTTTCCACATAGTTTCTGGAACACTCGGTTTTATTTGTTTTGTTGTTTTTTTTTTTTAAGTTTAGGGTTTCTTGTTTTGGATTTGGGTTGTTTGGTGTTTTGTTTTGTTTTTTTTTTTTTTGCAGGGAGAAATGGAGAAAATATATTTGTGTTACATGATCCCTTTCCATGATTCCAAAGAAATTAAAATTCATATGGAATCATTTCATATATTCTCTACATTTCCCTTTCACCTAGCAGTAATACTGACCTACCCTTCAAACAGTTAAGTCCATCTATTAGGAGAGGCTGGTGATAAGCAGTACCACTCAGCAGAATCAGCTTTACACTCTCATCCATACTGTGGCTACACCTGGCCTGCTCCAGGAATTCACAGCAATTTGCATTGTGCACTGTAGGATGTGAAAAACTCAAGGTAATGGATTTCTTGTTGGAAGATTACAAAACTGACCTCTGTTAACAGTGCCTATAAGCTATTACAGTTCTACTGTTTTAACAGCAACATTATTTAGGAGATGCTCTACACTTGCAAAACTGGTTCCCATACATAGTATTTTCCTTCTAAGTTAAACTTGCAAGTGATAATACAGTTTGTAAAATTCATGAGATTCTTTTCAGCAAAGACATTTTAAGTTACTCAGTTTTTTGGTTTTTTTTAACTCACGTATGTTCCATAACAGACGTGACGCAGCTATCTTGCTCGAATAAATGCATAGCAATACTTTCCCTACTGACAATAAATCACATTCATATCTGTAGCCGTATTTTCCTTCTTGCGTGAGGTGAGAGAGTCGTTAGGTTTTTCCTTGTTCTTGTTTTTAGGAAATAAACATGCTAGTAATGAAATGCATAGATTTCTTCAGCCTCAACAAGTTTGCTGAAAGCAGGAAAGCCTTGACTTGAGATAAACTAGAACTTCAGTCCATGAAAGCAGCTATCATTACCCATGTTGTAGTTTTGGTGTTGTGGTCAATAAAGAACGGTCTCCCATTAGGTGCATGCCGAACTTCCCAGCCTTTAGGGAGAAATCCTTGCTCCACTTCAGGCTGCTGATTAGAACACTGTTGTGATGAATCACCTGATGTTGCTTGTGGCTGTCTTGCTATAGAAGTATTTTGTGCAGTTGGCAACTGACCTGCTTCCATAGCAATCTACAGACAAAAAAACAGAACAAAAATAACACTAATAAGGAATGTCTGTAGAACAATGTATTTTATCTTAATATTAAGGTACTAATATTTCTTGATTCATGAAAGCAGTTTCATGAAGCAAATGCCAAACAGTAGACAGGTTTGTTTATCAACAACATGACTAACAATCACAGATTAGGCTACCAAAGTTGAAAGATGTTTTTCAGGCTTCCCCAACAGCTATCACATTCCAAAAGGCTTTCCTGATACATAAATCACAGACTGACTTACCATAAATACTGCTGTTACTAACTCCAGTTGCACTCCCCCAGATTTTTGTATTTGTTATCAGGTTATGCCTCTCACATGTTTTATTTCAAAGAGATCTCTAAACTTAAGTCCTATTATGTGAGGTGTTTAAAGGGTTATATGAATGAAAACAATACTTAGAATACAGAAGGTACCTGTACAACTGGTTTTATCCAAGTAGTAGTTCTGGAATTGTGATCTATGTAATATGACCTCCCTTTTTCATCTTGTCTTTCTTCCCAGCCTGGCGGTAATCCAGATGAAGTAGGCAGTAACTAAATGATAACAGAAGAAAAAACAGTTAAGAAAACTACAAAACTGACCATGAAAAGGCTTTCCCCTGCCAAATTAAAAAAATATTAATTAACAAGATCTATGATTTTCCATGGACTGGAAAATTAGAAAAGTAGTATTTAAATCCTTACTGAAGTATCAAGTGAGAGAATTATTTTATTTATTTACTTCTAATTCAAGCTTCTCATCCAAAAGGATTAAAAAGACTAATTTATATATCTGCTTTAGACTTGGCTGATCCAGCCTAATACTTCTGGATAGGAACTCACAATTTTGCAGCATCACCATGAAAATGTAACATAAGGACAGTGGTATAGCCTTTATTATAAAAGCAAATGATTTCAGGAGTAGTATTTCATGGGAGAATCATTTCCCTCTGTAAGCTCTATCCATGCATTAAGTAATGTTAACCTGAGAACACAAAGTCAGAAGATGGAAGTTCTTTACAACTGAACTTCAGTCTTGCTAGACTCTCATAATTGCAACATTATCAGGAGAGCTGCCCATTATACATAGTTATAAAATAAAATGCTCTACATCCTCCAACTTCTGTGCTACACAAGCCTCTGATCAGTACAAGTGTCTTGAACTAATGTTTTTGGATGGTGACATACCACTGGATGTGCAGGCTGCTCCTCAACTCTGTATGTTTGCAGACTACCTCTTCTGCTGGAATGGTTCTTGAAGTAGCAGAGAAGAATGGCATATCAGCTATTATTGCAGCTTTAAGTACAACAGCAAACTGTAAACTATGATTATCACATTTTAAACTGTTACAGTTTTCATCTTGAAAATGTCATGTTTTGAAATGACCTTTTAAAAAAAATTTTGTAAACTGATGTTTCAACGCTGTAACATCGTTCACAGCATCTACTGTAACTTAAAGAAAATTAATAAGAGACTTGAAAAAGCTTTGAAAGCCCTAACAATAGGTATTTGGGCATTTTAAACATCAGTTACTTGCAACCAGTTACATTACAATTTTGAATTTACAATATAGAACTCATCACTATTTTGTCAGAGGACTACAGCCTATGAGGCATCAGAGTCAACACAAGTTTTCAGAGAGTTTAAAGAAGACATGAAAAATTGAGATAATAGCTTTCCAGAAGAGGTGGCTCAATTACTATAGTTTGTATAAGCACCCATATTTCTGCCTAAAGCTATTTCTTATATCTCATCCCCTACAATTATGCAACTGTATTTCATCCTCCTCCAGAAGTTTCAAGATTACTTGTTCTCTATATACCCATGCACCCTCTTAGAATATTTCAGAGAAAGCAATTGATTTTGTTTTGTTTTATTGTTTGTTTGGGTTTTTTTGATTGGTGGTGGTGAAGGGATACAAGACTGTCGTTCTAGCTGGCTGCTACAAACAACATGAACATCTGTTTTCTCCTTTACCCACCAAGCAAACAGAAATAATGGTTTTCTTGGTATCCATAGGATGCTGAATACGTAAGTCTTGTGGCTCCCACACTTCTCTATTCCCAGAAACACTTCAGATGACTTTGTAAAATCTTATAAAAACACAAGCAATTCACCTTTAAGTCACATTTGGAATGGCAACTTCAGCACCACAAAAGTTGATAATTTCATTTAAATACTGACATCTTATGCATCATATGGTCTGGGTCACCTTTGCAGGCCTTCCTCAATGGATAGTGGATTTCTCAAGTCATATATTTATACATATCAGTTTACAAGGCTATTTGTGAAGGTCAGGTTTCACAAGACAGCTAAGCTCATTTAATTGCTTGCTGCCACCAAAAAGACTCACTCATTGCTGTGTACTCCTGCTGTTTTTCCCTTGCTAGTGTAGCATTTTTCAGACAACTTAGGGTGCTCTTTTAACTTGCTAAAACAGCAAAAAACAGCATTGAGGAGAAAAAGCAGATAGTTTTCTGCTGGGCTAGTCTGCTGAACAGACTTGCAGGAAGCTAGACAAATTTCATAACTGGTGCAAGATTTCAGAACTGTGTGAGTGAAGTCTCTTTTTTCATTGCTATGTTGTCATCAAGTTTACTCAGCCAAAATCATAGAACCTTATCCCAATATTTGCAATGAAAAATGAGTTATCTTTAAGCTTGTCCTAACAGAAGAAGTTACCAGTATGGAACTATTTCCCTAGAAATAAACATTTAGAATGATTACAGCTTTCTTAATCTGCACTTTTCAGCAGTATTCAGATCAGCATGACTCTGGAATAAAAGGTAGATTTAGATTCTAAAAAATAGTTAACACAAGCCTCAGACTCAGGCAGAAATTCCTGTTCTAGATAAGTAAAGCAGGAAATAATAAAATGTTTGCTTGCATAGTAAAATTACTCTTAAATTCTCAGCATTTGAGATAAAATAAAAAACAAAACAGTTGATACAAAGAGTTTATTAATACAATTTTAACAATGAGAAAATGCAACTTACAGTGTAGGCTGCTGACTGGCCAGTAGCTGAACTTCCAGAGGTGTTAAGTCTGGTATTCAGCTCTTCTGCAAGATGAGTCTGTATATCGCAACTGTTCTGTGGCAGAGGTATTTGAGGGTTCTCATTGCTATACAATGTTGCCTCATCTTCAGTTATAATTTCCCAGCTCTTTAAAAAGAAAGAAAGAAAAAATATTTTAAAATAAGTAGTTTTAAGTTCTAAATACTTAAAGTAAGCTTCTTGACTAGAGGTGAAAGACTACATGTGTTCCAGAAATATTTACATATGGTTTTACCTCAGGAGAATCTCTGCTGTCTAGATTTTCTGTATCTTCTGATATCTGCCGCCGATGAGTGAACGCATGCTGGGCCTCCAACTGCACGTTACCAATATCTGCTACAGCTACATTGTCCCTGTTGAAAAAAAAAATCATCCATATTAACGTTATACTTTTCAACAGCAGAAAGTACACTTTACAGCTGTTTTGGATGGAGAAAGTGAAGCAGTTGTGAGCTATACAATTAATGTGAATTGTTTTGAATGGGAAGCATCAGTAAAATAAAATAATCAGATAGCATTTCAAGTATTATTTTTCAAATTCATATGCTAAGGGACAAAATTTGTAGTCTAAAATAGAAAAAGAAACAACAAAACACCAAGATAAATATAGTCACTGCTGGGAAGGAAGAACCAGTCTTAGAGCTGAAAAATAATCTCTGCAGCTTTTCTGTATCATCTCTTACAACTACAAGCAGTTTCACCATGGACATAAGCTTCCAGAGAGTAGAAAGGATGTTTTGTAGTTAAATGGACTACTAGCCAATGACCAAAACATATGGGCTTGAATGTTCAGATGTGGAAAGGTCTCAGATCTAACTCTCAAGGTGTGGATTTTCCAGTTCTTCCTGCCTTCAGTGCAGCTAGAGAAAACTGAAAACTAATGTAAGGCTCAAATCTTCCGGCCAAAAGACATACTGAGCAGTTGGTCTTTTCCACTGTGTTCTTCTGAATTCATGATTGACATAATAGGTCCTGCCAAGGATGTCTTGCCTTTCTTCCCAACCTGAAGGCAGTGGAGGAGATTCCTGCTGCTGCTGTTGTGGCTGGCTAGAAGCATCCGGTTGGTCCAGTAAAATCCACCCAGGCTAAGAGACACAATATTAACTACTTTTAATTTGCATTATCAAAGTGAAAAAGTATCCCAAATTATTAAATCACCCCATTTTTAAGGTACAGCTCTACTATATCTTAAACCACTAAGATTGGCTCTCGGTTTTGTTGTATTTCTTAAGAAATGAGAGGACAGACTTCTGCATGAATCACTTTACTCTCAAACTTCTTGAGATGTAATAACAAAAAGATATATGGAAATATGGCAATGCAGTAAAAGAACAAAAGTGAAGCCTAATGTACATTTTCCCTTTTATGGAAAAGAACAACAATACACTCCTTCAGATAGAAAAACTATTTTACACTGACTCACAGCTGTACAGCAAGACATAAGCAATCAGATCTAACTGCTTGTTTCTAAAAATATTTGGTTACTTCCCTCAATAGCCGAAGACCAATGTTTGCTAGGTTTCTCAGCAAAAAAAAAATATATTTTCCCACCTCCAATTCCTCGGCCTGTTCTGTGGTTTCTTCTTCAGATCCATTGCTTTTAGGTAAGTAAGTCATCTTTAATCTAAGGTGACCTTTAACTCTTGATTTATGGCTGTAGAGGAGAAAAGGTGTTCTTACTGTGCACTTGTGAAGCTGTTACAAAATTCAAAGCTAAATAAGTCCAGCTGGAGGATTATTTTGAATCTTCTCTATATAAACTTGACTTTTTACAGTTTCAATTAACCAAGTTCTATAATGGTACCAGCTTTAAGACTTGGGAACACACTCCAAAATGCTAAAAATTTAAAATCAAGCAATGAAAATTCTTCAAATTATCTTTTCTGCTAACAACGTGGCTAAGAAATATCTATATAACCCAAGGGAAAAAACACTGACAAGCACTTCATGAATTTTATCTCTTGCTCTTGCTGATCTGGGTTAAAAATCTAAATTTAAAAACAAATACAAAAATGTGTAACACTAAAATCAATACCAAAGTGTCCCGTATTTTATAATTGCTTGTTTTCTTAACAGGACTTTTAACATGTGAGCAGCTTTTCAGTTTAAGCTTTGTTATGTAATTAAAGTCATATGAAAGTTTATGAGAGGCAAACAGCAGACATCTTTTAAAGGAAGGGAGGAAACAATTTCAATTTGAGAAAGAATTTGAACAAATGCTGACTTTAGCAGAACCACAGACAATTTGCTCCACTGAAATTAAAGTTTCTGTGATGAAAACATGAAAATGTAGACAATATTTATGTACATACCAGAATTTACATAATTGTATTGTTTGGATATGAAAGTTAGAATTTATATGTGGTATTTACTAACCTTCTTGGATGAAGAACAAAATCCCTAAAGGTATATGGTCTCTCCATACTTGGATGCTCTGTCTGGAATAAGAGAAGTTTTTTCAAGAAGTTTGTATCATTGAAATTTGTCGTTTAGGCAAACTATCAGAAATTCTAAATCAGTTTTTTAAAGCCTGTGTAACTTCTTGCATTTGAATTGCGTGTTCAGTTAAAGCTCTGGCAATCAGAGCCAACTTTTATTGTAGGAATAAAGTTAATTCCCCAGTTCAAGGGAAAAAAAAAAAGAACAATGAATCTTTTCAGTATGTAAAATATATATACACACATTACAGTTTCTAAAGCACAGGCATAGGGAAAAGAAACCGTTCAGCCTGAAATCAGTCGTTTCTCACTTTGTGCAATCAAAAGATCTGCCGTAACTTTTTTTTCCCTGCTTTGGTATTTTTCAAATATTCTTATGCAGAACTGATGTGAAAAGCTTTGGGATTTGGCAAAAATGAAAATCTTTAAAAAAAAAAAAATAACAGAGGAATCCACTCTTGAGAACATCTCTTCTGATTCATGAAAGCGAAGTTGCTCAACACAAAGAAGCACAGAAATAGACAGATGTGATTTTATATTTATATATCCTGGGTACAGCTATAGAAATATACATGAAGGACCATTACAGAAAAAAAATATATATTTCTTTCTGGTTAACAAATCCAGCTGCTGTTTTGCAATTCCTACAAAAACAGTTAATTTCTTACAGTACTGTGTGTTCAGGAATATTTGGAAATCCTTTTTTTTCAAGTCAAAATGGATTTTGCTTTCTCAGCTGTCTGAATTCTGGGATCTAACTCTAGGCTCTTGTTAATGTATTTTAACCATTTCCACAAGTACTGTACAAGAGAAAAAAATTGCATTTATTTGTAGAATTTTTAATTAAGAAAAAAAAAGTCAGATGATGCAATTCCCTACTGTATTTTCAAAAAAATGTCTTAAAAAAATGACAATATTTGATTGGGAAGAAGCCAAAAATTCCAGGACATAAGGTTAGCCACTATTACATTAAAGATTTTAAAGGTTTTTTTTTTTTTTTTTTTTTTTTTAAATCCCTCTGTTTTTGTCATTCAATCTTACTGAACACCTACTGTACTGAATCTCAGAAAGAAAAATGCTATCATATATCAGACATTTCAGTGTAAGTATCCAAATAAATACCCCTCTGAAAGTAAAATGGAATTAAGCTGTCCTTTTTTTGTTTTGTTTTGTTTTCTTCTATTCCTGCCCAACATAACACAGTAAAATGCTGTGGAAAGACGTAAGAGGGAAAAAAAGAAAAAGGAGAAAATATATGTTTTGTAATCATTTCCTATTTTTCAAAAACAAGAATTGCCTTGGATTCAATACCAGGTAGGCCTTTGATTAATTAATTTTGGTTTTGGATCTGTTCACTATCTTACTGTACAGAGGAGTTAACCTCTCTACATGCCTATGACTACCAGCCCTTCTTAGTTGTAAGCAGTCTGCATTCACACAATATCAAGGAAAACAAGATGGGAACCAAAACTACATGCAATAATGAGTTTTTAATATAAACTGATTTCATTTATCCAAAAATAATTTTATTTATCAAAGATATATTTGCTTTTGTAAATGAAAGATTGTTTCAACAACAACAAAAATCCACTTATGTTTGAGCCAATGAAGCACAGTAGATTTAGATGGCAAAAACAAGCAATTGGGATGGAACAAATGGAACAGGGAAATGCTGACTTTTGAGGAAGTTAAGAAAATGAATGTGAAAATACTCAAGTCAGACTACGTAGTTCTGGCTAAAGGTAATGCACCAATATGTGATACTGCTACCCAGCTTCCCAGTGGGCAAGAAGAGAAAGCTTTCTCTGGAGGTACATCACAGCTACTTGGCCCTGAGCAGGGTGCTGTGACCACGCGTCCTGCCTACAGCAGGAAGCAGGACAGGTCTGTTAGTACTGCCTAACATTTTTAAATATATTGAAATATATTAAAAAAAAAAAAAAAAAAAAAGGAAAGGCTTATTTATTTCAGTGTTTTTGGTGATCTTTCCTGAAAACTAAGAATGTACTTTGCGAAAGGAATGCAAAAATGTACAGATATACGGAGCAAGGCTAGTTCTGTTTTCCACCTATTTTCTTGTGCATTTATTTGTGGGAACACGAACTAACAGAAATAAATTCACATAACACTCAAAGGAACCAAAAAAGACTTTAAATAAAATATTAATAAATATGATAATTACCATAATATCTTCTTGTCTTTAAAACAGCTTAAAATCTTTCCTTTTTTACTTTTGAAAAAGCTACAAGCACTTCTAACTCACACAGCAGCAGAAATCAATACCTAGACACATGTTAAACCACATTTTTTTTTTTATAAACACCAGCAGTAAACAAAAACAACAGAAAAATTCAATCACATCATCAGTAGGATTTTCTTCTTTAGGTGACTAAAACAGTTTCTTACAGAAACTTTTTCCCTTTTTCACATTGTTAATACAAAACAAAAGAACAAAATACCAACCGGTAACTGATAAAGGGGAATATCCACTTGCCCAAGAAAATCATCTCGAGTCTAGAAAAAAACATGAATGAAAAGCACAAAAAGTTTAAAGTCACAGTGTTTTAGAAACAATACTTCAAACCCCTGATAACCCAATAAAGATCTGTGTAAGATCTTCAAGACAGAGCTGAAGCACAGACAAAGGAACTTTTCGCATAGAACAAGGTCTGACTGACTTGGTACCCGAGTCTTGCACAGTCTTGTTTTCCTCAAAATAAATGGCATTTGACAGTGCTATGGGATTTTTAAAATTATTATTATTTAAAATCAAATGGACTACTGCCAATCAAACAGAAGAGAGTTCTTCAGTCAGCATCCCCTATAGAAACGCTGCCTTAAAGGGCAGAAAGTAAAGATGCTGCCATTAGCTATTCCAGTAAAACAGTTGTCATGATATATGCTTAAACAACTGAGCATTTATCACAAAATAACACAGAATTATTTACAGACCTTTCTGCTAGGAATGCCTGAAATCGGTATGAACTTAGGCAGAATGTCTCATATAAGCATCTACTAAATTATTTTTCACTTCAAAATAGTACAGCTAACTGTCAAAAGTAAGAGGAAGTGAGAGTAAGTTTCATCTACAATAAGTGCTTTGGAACTTGCAGCAATTCCAGCTGTCCCAAGCCTGCCAGCAGGAGCCTGAAATACGGCATCTGCCTTATCCCATCTGACATGCCTGTTGACATCTGAAAGTGCACTAAAATTCATTATATCTATGAAAAAATATCATTGGCCTACACTCACCGCAGAGTTTAGCTTTAACATGAAAAATCTGCAGAAGCCTATCCTGATTTAGGATGTCTCGTCAGATGCCCTGATTATAACCAGACAACGAATGCAGCTTCGCCTCTCTCCAGCCTATTCTTTACCACAATTCAGGCATGGACAACAACACACAAAATCATTCTGTGGTTTACTTGTTATCATCGATTTTTTACTTCTACATAAATTAGGATTTTAAGTGGGTCACTACAGCAGTGTCCAAGAGTCATGTCAATGGTCCCATTGCTTCACTTGACTTCCCACTTGATTACAGATGCATAGGCTGTGTAGTTTCAAGTCCACTTACAATTTGAAATCTTTACAAACCTTCACAAAGGCAGGAAAATGTATCACATGGGTCATTTAACACAAATACACACCACCACCTGTGTGCTAAAATCAAAAGGGTGTGAAATATTTAAAGTTTTTGAAGTTCTTGCATAGACAGACTAGCAATTGAAAAAGTCCTCGACACTGTAGCCTGCACAGCCCCCGGATGTTTCATCTTCCTGATTTTTTTTTTTTAAAACAGCTAACAAAAGTTTCAGTGGCTGCTCTTTCCTAAATTTTATTGGTGTACCACAGGCTTTTAATTAAATTCACAATGTAAGGACTTTCACAGTCTTCTTCCCTAAATTTCCATTACCAGCTTCCATATTTCATTGAAATATATTCCTTTCACCTCAAGGCAAAGCTGTGCATTCCAATTTCCTTCTAGCACGGCTATATTTTTAGCTTTCCAAATGCTAAAATTCCCACTCAATTCCACTCAACCTTTTTTGTCTTACTGACAGCATTTGAACACCTCTGATTGTAAAGGATATAGGCCTTTCTTCAAGCAGATATTTCTTCTTCAATAATCCTGGTCCTTTTTTCCCTAGGTCTGTCAGCCCAAGTTTGTCCATTTCATCTTTAAATTGTAGATATACATGGAAAAAGTGCCTCATATTTGTATGAGTTAATTAACAATTCTAACTTAAACTCTAATTTTTATACTCCCAAAAAGCATAATATGCAACTAGACTGCAGAGCTCATCATGTAGTAATGTACTGGAAATGTACAGATACATAACCTTAAATTGAATTTATAGCACCTATGCCTTGTGTCCAGATTCCAAGGAGAAAAAAACCTACTCACAAATAAAACAAAACAAAAACCCTTCCCCTTCTCCCCCCCCCCCAAAAAAAAAAAGCCACCACTTGTTTGTTTTTTTTTTTTAGCTCACAAACTGGTTTGGGATAGAGAGCTACAACAGGTTTTCATATCGGAAGAGTCTGGAGGTTCCCTGACCTAGTAAAGAAAAACTTTCTGTATTATTATAGACCACAAACTTCTGGAAAAAATATGGCTATGAGGTTCTTTTTAAAAAGGCACAGCGCATACCTTAGACACGTTAAAAGGCTTAGTATTTGTAAAGTTCTTGGCAATCCTCAAGTGGAACATGCCTTTCAAATAAATTACTGGAATGTGGGACAAATGTCTGCTGCGTTTTAGAAAACCTCAGAACATTGTGTTTGTTACCAGCGTAATTTTAGTATGTGCTCCTGTTATTCACTTTATTATTCTGCTGTCTCTCCTGCTATTTTTAGTAGAGCTAGCCTCGATAACCAACCTTTAACAGTACTTTCTCCTCCAGCCAGCGAGTAAAATCCTCCAGCTGAGAGTTTTGTTGACCTCCAAACTACTAATACATAGATCAGATAGCAGGAACGCTGCTTAGCAGTGTGCCTCACTCCGACAAGTTGACTAACTGCCTTCAAAGAAGTGCCAAAGAAGCTCTGAAACAGACTTTGCACACATTAACAATTAAATGCCAGTGGAGCTGAAACTGCATGCATCTCTGTTTCACGACAGCAGGCATCCCAGTTCCTTTAGCAAAGACAAGTGAGTCAGTTGTTCTTGTCAACTTGCAACTTCTTGACAGCCAGAGAAGTCAAACTTTCTGCTTGCCAAACCATAAGTGCATAAACCTTTATTAATGATATAGTACGCTAACAAAGAGGTCTTTTATTTTACTGATTCAGTGGTTTAGTCTATAGAAAGTTATTAAAAACATGCAAGGACAGACAGCAGCTGTATCCAACACATTTAAAGAACTTCAGTGCAATGCAAAAGCGAGAGCTCAGAAGGGTACAAGCACTGAAAAACTAATCCAGACATACCTGAATTCCAAAACTCATTCTCATCTACTTTATAAATATATACCTATTAAGCCTTAGAAGTTATGAATAAACCACTAAAAGATGTGCTTATCTGAGTATAACAGCGTCATCACACTGAGTCATACATTAAAGAGCAGTACTTAGAACACTACCCAAAATTTATCAAGTTTGAGGAGACAAAACTGACTTTACTGCCCTCCTTAATTGTTGGATTCATCACAGTACCACTTCAAACAGCTCTTGCACAGATGCTGAAAGAACATATTCTACCATATTCTCTTTTGTGACTAGGGTTTTCTTGTTGTCAGTGCATGAAGTAGATGCTAAGTATATTCTCAGTCCTTTTCTGAACAAACAGCCAGCTAGTTGTACACAAGGTTGGTCTTCAGGCACAATTCTACAGCTGTATAGGAAAAGGAGAAAGCATACAGCTCTTATTCGATGGAACATAAAGTATTGATTCAAACTGAAAAAACAAACAGTGATCCAGACTATCACTGCTTAAGAAAACAAGAGTTCAATAGATCTCTTATAAAACCAACATTCTTTTTGCTTAAACACCCAAACACCAATGTTAGCTACAAGCTTGATGAGAACGAAAAAAGAAACACCCATCCCAACCCAAACAAAACTTTCCTGGACTATAATAACAACTTCAAGTGTTTTTGTGCTGCACTGAGAATATTATTTGGCTCTCTAAAACTCTAAATCAGGAGAATTGAGCTTTTTTCCTTCCACAAAATACTGCCAGCTCACACTATTCATCGTAGGAAAACAGCAAAATTGAATTATCATGGTAAGATCTTACCAAGCTCACGGATTCTAAATGCAGTGTTTTTTCTAATTTGCAAAGCCATAAATTCCTTGTGGCACAGAATTCATTAAAGCCTCAGACTCCTGCATTTTTTATGTGTCAAAGATAAATGGTGAGGGAATTTTTTTGTAAGAAATGTAAGCATTTCTTTTTAATCGGCATTAATGAACAAACACAATTGACAACTACTGAGATAAAAGTGGAGAAAATATCTATTGGTAGAGAGATGGTTATTACACAACTTATGCTCCGGCAGGACTTTCAGCCTGGCTGGCTGCTTCCAGAGGAAGGTGTCAGCATAACATGCCTCAGCAGTTTTACCATCTGTTTAGCAGACAGCACTTAGAAATGACACAAGTTATTTTCACTAATTCCCCCTCACTTCTAGAGATATTTTCAGAACATTCCTGCTCTACAAAGACCAGAGCAAAAATATCCTATTTCTTCATTTACACCTTATACTTTTTATATAGAATCTGTATGCTATGGGTAGATACATTTAAAGTCCATATTTAACCGACAATGACTTTAAAGCATCATTCACATATTACTCCATTTAATGTTTGCTATTTGAAGAACTTGAACTTACACATTCATTAACAGCAATTTAAGATAGGTTTGGGTTTTTTTTGGCATTTGAGATCTCATTTTCACAGGTCACAGGATGATAATTTGTTGTCTTGTATAACCAAAGTATATTTAAGTATAAGAGAGAACAAGTTGAAAGTTAGTAAAGGGTATGTTTTATTCATCAGGAATTTGAGTTCCCTTGATTTTATGCACAGATGTGCCAAGTAAGCTACTATATAAAAAGCAGAAGTATTAGATTTTATAAAAAGTCAAGAGCCAATTCAAATTTGGCCTCCTCTGTTAATCCAGTCAACACTTCAAAAATTATATTAAAAAATAATAATCATAAAGCTGTACCAAATATTTGCTTAGTTACTACTTTGATAATCTGTTTCCAATATCAAGACAGTTAACCTCATAATAGTATAAAAACATAAAACTTTTGCATCTATTTGTGGGAGCTTTTGTGCCAAGTCTTATGACTTCAGTTAAGCTTTGAGAAACAAACTCTTGTAGTAACAATTCCAGCTGCACTTTTTAACCTTGACTAATTAACACCATAAAGGTTAAAACACTCAAAAAATGTAAAACCCTATGAAATGTTTAAAAGCATGTGTAATTTTCTCCCTGAGAAACAGATCAAACCAGATGTGAAAATCTTAATGCACTCATCCAAGGGACTTAATACACAGTCAAT